GCTTTGAAAATGAAGGATCAAGTGCTAGATGTTTTCAAGCAATTTCATGCTGAAGTGGAAAGGGAAACTGGCCTCAAGTTGAAGTGTGTAAGGGCTGATAACGGGGGAGAGTATAGAGGTCCATTCGAAAGCTACTGCAGACTGCACGGAATTAAACTGCAGAAAAGTGTACCCAAGACTCCACAACAAAATGGTGTCGCCGAGAGGATGAATAGAACAATTTGTGAGAGAATCAAGTGTATGCTCTCACATGCCAAGCTACCTAAATCATTTTGGGGAGAAGCAATGTGGACAGCGGTTGATCTAATCAATCTCTCACCATCGGGCCTTTGGAGGGTGACGTGCCTCAACGAGTATGGACGGGAAAGGAAGTCTCATATGAACACTTGCGAGTGTTCGGTTGCAAAGCTTATGTTCATGTTCCAAAAGATGAGAAAGCAAAGCTTGATAACAAAGCAAAGCCATGTATATTCATGGGCTATGGGCGTGAAGAGTTTGGGTACAGATTATGGGATCCAATTGCAAGGAAAATTGTTAGGAGCCGGGATGTGATTTTTCTTGAAGATGAGACAAGTGAAGACATCGAAAGGGGTGAAAAGAAGAAAAATACAGCAGCTGGTCCAGTTAATTTGGAGCCTATATCTCCATCCCAAATGCATGAAAATGTTGAGGAAGTAGTGCATGATGAGCCCCAAGGTGCACTAGATCAAGAAGTGCAAGGAGAAGAGCAATTGGAGCAAGAAGAACAAGTTGAAGAAGAGCAACCTCTACCCGAACCAAGAAAGTCAACAAGAGATCGCAAAACTTCCACTTGGTACTCCCCTCATGAGTACCTATTGTTGACTGACGGGGGAGAACCCGAATATTATCAAGAAGCCATGTCTCATGAAGACAAGGAGGAGTGGAACAAAGCAATGCAAGAAGAGATGAAGTCTTGGCAAGAGAATCACACTTATGATTTTGTGAAACTACCCAAAGGAAAAAGATCACTTAAGAACAAGTGGGTCTACAAGTTAAAGACGGAGGAAACTAGTTCAAAGCCTCGGTTAAGGGCGCGACTAGTTGTGAAGGGTTTCAACCAAAAGAAAGGTGTTGACTTTGAAGAAATTTTCTCTCCCGTGGTGAAGATGTCCTCTATCCGAGTTGTGCTTGGGTTGGCTGCAAGTTTGGACTTGGAAGTTGAACAACTCGATGTGAAGACGGCGTTTCTTCATGGTGACTTAGAGGAAGAGATATACATGGATCAGCCGGAAGGGTTCGAGGTTAAAGGCAAAGAAGATCTTGTATGCAGATTGAGAAAGAGCTTATATGGGTTGAAGCAAGCACCAAGACAATGGTACAAGAAATTTGACTCATTCATGGTCAAAAACGGGTATGCAAGAACTACCTCCGATCATTGTGTGTTTGTGAAATACTTTGCTGAAAATGATTTCATCATTCTCTTGCTTTACGTGGATGACATGTTGATTGTGGGTCGGAATGTTGGAGAGATTGATAGATTGAAAAAGGAGTTGAGTAAATCCTTTGCCATGAAGGACCTAGGACCAGCGAAACAAATTCTAGGGATGAGAATCTCTAGGGATCGGAGGAATGGAAAAATTTGGTTGTCTCAAGAAAGGTATATTGAAAGAGTTCTTGAGCGGTTCAACATGAGCAAGGCTAAGGCGGTTAGTACTCCACTTGGAGGACATTTCATATTGAGTTCGAAGCATTGTCCTACAAGTGAGGAAGAGAAAGAAGCAATGAAGAATGTGCCTTATGCATCAGCTGTTGGGAGCTTGATGTATGCTATGGTTTGCACAAGACCGGATATTGCTCATGCAGTTGGGATTGTCAGTCGGTTTCTTTCCAATCCGGGGAAAGAACATTGGACAGCAGTGAAGTGGATTCTTCGCTACTTGAGAGGTACTTCTAGAGTGTGTTTATGCTTTGGTAATGGCAAGACCATACTTGATGGATATACCGATGCTAACATGGCAGGTGATGTGGACTCTAGAAAGTCGACTTCTGGATACATGATGACTTTTGCAGGTGCTGCAGTTTCATGGCAATCTAAACTGCAAAAATGTGTTGCATTATCAACAACAGAAGCCGAGTACATAGCCGTGACAGAAGCTTGCAAAGAGATGTTATGGTTGAAGAAGTTTCTTCAAGAATTGGGCATCAAGCAAGAGAGGTATGTGCTCTATTGTGACAGTCAAAGTGCAATTCATCTTTGCAAGAATCCAACTTTCCACTCAAGGTCGAAACACATAGATGTTCGATATCATTGGATTCATGATGTTTTGGAAGAGAAGTTGTTGGAGCTCAACAAAGTGCATACGGATGACAATGGTTCGGACATGATGACTAAGTCTCTACCAAGTGGAAAACATATCTTCTGTCGAGATGAAGCAGGTTTGGTGCTACCCCCCATATGAGCTGGAGGGGGAGATTTGTTAGGTTGGTCCAACTCATATGGTGGTTGGATTAACCGGTTTGAGTTTGGGTTTTTGGTTGGTTTCTAGAAGATCCTCTATTTTTAAAATAGAGAGTTATTGTCTACTCAAAAGTAAAAAGAGGTGACAGCCTTTCATTTTTAGAGAGAGAATCAGAAAAGAGAAGAGATAAGGAAAAAGAGAGAGGAGAGGAAGAGCTGCAGTTTTTCGTTTCTACAGCAGGGCAGCCTGTTCAAGTGAGCGTTCTGGAAGATTGAACCGTTGGATCGTCCTGAAATTTGGACGACATTATGAGGTCTAGTTCGTCGGGAATCGCTGCTGGACAGAAGGTATACGAATCTGTTTTTTGGTATCTCTCAACTTCTCTTTGTCTTGCTCTTGTTCTTGTTATCCACCATGTTGGTGAGAGCTATTGTGGTTGATTGTTGATCCAAGACGGGTGTTCTTGAGGTGTTTGTAATCCTCTAGCTAGTCTAGAGAGGACTTGTAATCCCACCAAAGTCTAGTGGAGTTGTGGCTTGGACAAAGGTCCCGTGGTTTTTCCCGATTTGGGTTTTCCACGTAAATATCGTGTGTCTTGTGCATTCTATTCTTGCTTGTGGTTGCTGCTCGGTTTCTCAACACTGGTCTACATGCAGACTCCGTCGACAGCTTCCACGATCACGTCGGACTCCATCAAATGACAGCTTCTACACGCGGACGCAGTCGACGTCTAGCTCCCTCTTCGTTAAGCGACGGTGACGACGATTGAGGATTGACAATGGAAGACAGGCCAATTTCCGACAACCAGCTTCCCTCTTCGTTAAACGAAAATAACGATAGAAGAAAGCGGTAGGCGGAGGAAAATGAAACCGCAGCACTCAGGATAGAATAGGCAGGGGACAAGGAGGGCGGCCGGGTAGTTTGCTTCATATGGAATAGAAAAAACTTAAGATTTAAAATAATTAAAAATCTCTAATGACCTAATTATCCTTAACCACCCATTGACTAATAACTCCTTATTAACTACATTCTTTCTTAATAGCCAATAGGATTGCTTTAAGCATATGCTTAAACTTTTGGGCTTAAGTACAGGAACTCAGGCCCATCCCGATTTGGTCCGAAGACTCTGTACAAGGAATCCTAATTCCATGGTCAACAAGCAATTCTGCAAATTATGGAGCATCAAATAGCCTCCTCGGTCAAGGCCAGACACCAAGGACTCTTTCAAACAATAAAAAAAACAATATAAAGTTGAAAGAGATAAATGTTCTTAGCACTTACAACCTCACCACGTCAAACTATCAATTGTAGTCGTCCCGAATCATTTTATGACGAAATTTTGCTCGAGAATGGCCAAACATTGGTTAAGAACCAGAATCAGGAGGCCAAAAATGAAGAATCTCCACCTGGGAAGAGTTTGGCGGCCAATGATAAAATAAAACTCACTATTTTGTGACTGAGGCGCTCAAAACCATCATCCCATATGAACCCCGGAACTCAATCACATATTGATTCAAGAGTCTTTTGGAGAGCCCAGGAAGAATATGAACTCGTTTCAGTTTAAAAAAAAAACACAAAGTCGTCTGAACATAAAAATTCTGGAAAATGGAAATTTTCATGTGCTTCATCGATGCTCAATGCATTTTCTTTCCTTAAATTGAATTTCAAAACTATTTTGTAAGATGGAAAGAAAGAGCTACGTACCACTTAGGGATGACAACAAAATCCGAATCTATGGATAACCTATCTTACTCAACCTGGTCAACGCGGGTAAAACTCGTGTTTATGGATTTTGGGTCGGGTTTGGATTTAAATCCATTCACTATTCATCGGGTTGGATTGGGTTTGGGTTTAGGGATATCCGCCCCATGGATACCCATCCACACCCATATAATTAATTTCCCGGTATATTTAATATTCTAAGCAACTAATCTTCTTTATGTTTGTGGAGACATGTCTAATTATTTCTTTGTAATTGTGTAGAATGAAGTTGATATTATCGAGTGGAGAGTGAAGATTGTAGCTAGTTTTGATTTTGAACGTTGGTTCTTACTAGGGTTGTAAACTTTGTTAGCTTTTTGTCCTGGTAATACAAGTGATCTATTGGTAAAAAATAAAAAAATAATAATAGTAATATTCGCTTGCTTAGCATTTTTAGTAACAATCATATATATGTGGTGGCTTCTACTTTACTTTGAGTAAAACCAAAGGTATAGTATATCTTGAGTAATAAAATTATATGCAGACATTGAATTGACCGGATTTTGGGCATTGATACTATACCATAATCCTTGATGAGTGAACCCTAGATCTTAGTTATCTAAATCATAGACTTTAAGCCTCAAAATGTTGCATGTTATTTGTTGCATATAGTTTGACCAATTATGACCATCGATTGTTGTTTCTAATCAAATTGATCTTAGTGTATGGGATTTATAGAATTAAGACTCAGATTTTAATCTTTCAGTATTAGAGTATTATAACATGTCCCAAATTTCGGTCAATTCAAGATCTATATATCACTAAAGGTACAATAAAACCGTCCATATATATATATATATATATTCTCTTGTTTATAAGGCACTAGTTCATTAACAATGTTTTACCAATTTAATACCGGTTAATTCAAGATCTATATATCACTAAAGTTACAATATACCGTCCATTCATATTTTGCATACTCGTACAACTAGAATCAATATTAAGATATACTTTTGTGTGGTGGCGCACACTACTACTTGTCTACTGTCCAAGGGAAAGGGATCAATCAAAGTCGAAAGGAAATCCCAGGCAGGCACTAAGCATACAACCCAACCCATCATTTTTTTTCTTCAGATATTTAAACTGCTCGAATACCCCCGGTCCATTGAGTAGCTACATCTGCCAAGATTACTTGGTCGTATGACAGAACATAAATCAGAGTAAAAAAAAACAGCTACAATCGACGTGATATATATCTATATGCTACACTTGAGAGAAAGAAGCAACTGACACCGATTTCCTTTTCGCGCGCTAATCACAGCCTGAGCTTTAAGCATTCTGGGGGATCTCGCATTGCATTCGGTTTCTTAAACTCCGAAGTTGCATTGTTGCACAAACTCCAACTCGTAGTCAACGAACTTTGTCCAGAGCGGTTTGAACTGGGTCATGGCTATATCAAGCCAGGGCTTCATGTTCCCATTGAAGTGAACCACTGCAGCATTTCGGATCTCGTCCATGCTAATGCTTGGGTTGTAGCCAAGCCCCAGCACATGCCACGACTTGTCCAGTGGCTTCGTCGTTGAGTAGTATGTGATCAACCCTGGAGGCAGTGTCCCCAGCTTCCACAACGTCCGGTTCTCGTTCTGCAAATCAAACCCAATTCAACAATTCTAGTCTTCCCAGGAAAAGCAGCACTAGGAATTGACATTAAACGAGCAGGGCATGCTCTAGCATGATGGATGTCTAAAACTAAATTATCAAACAATTTCAATACAACTATGCCAAAAGGATTCATAAACAACCATGGTGTTTGAATTGTCTTACCAGAGTCTGCCAGTAATGATATTCCTCTGTGCATTTCTCCCTCCTCCAAGCATCCAAATCAAAGAAGTTCATTCCATAAGCCCAGGCACATGCCTTTGGATTAAACTTAGCTTTAATCAAAGGATGTGAGAAGTTCATGTACTGGGCATATCTATGGAATGACCCGAAACAAGTCTCCACAGCCCCAATCACCTTCCCATCCATATCGATCTCCCACAACCCTGTCAGATCCTTCTGTACCACGATGTCGTCATCTAAGAACAATATCCGATGCAGCTTCGGGTACATCTCGGGCAAATAAAACCTCAGATGATTCAAGATGGACAAGTACTTGGGGTTCCTGAACTTCATGTTTGTGGTGTCCTTAGTTGCGTTCTCAAGCTTGTTCTCGAAGTAGAACTTCTGCAGATTTGCAGACTCCAATTGCTTGAGCACGGGGACATAAGAAGAATTCAGGAACTTATAGTCCTCAACAGCTTTCACTTCAATGTGGGCCCCATTATAATCCTTCAACTTGAACATAACCTGCATTGCACCAAGGTTCATTTTATCCGTCACCACATGAAAAACGTGCTTCCAAGGCTCCTTGGCATTCTTGACAGCTGAATTCACCACAACTGATGCAGCAATCACGTTATCCGAAAATATGGCGTAGTGGTAAAGTGTGGGATCCTCCAACTCGGGAGCCTGCGGCTTCCCATCATCAGAATATTTCTCAGGATGAGCGATCCTCTCCTCCATCAGCCGCATTGCAAGACAGTGCAAGCTTTTGGGAATGGATTTTGCAGCAATGAGGCTCGAAAAGGCCCCTTGCTTCTTAGCCTTGGTGAGGAGCTCGTTGAGGCTAAAAATGATGTCTTTCAGCTTCTGAATCTTGAGCTGATTATCGAAACTCTCTTTTGCCTCAGAGATCACTTGGCGGGTAACCTTGATCCGCTCCTTAACTTCCTTCTCAAACTGCCGCAGCGTGGATTCCTCCATAATCGATGATGCGGAATCTGACTCAAACAGAGCCCTGTAGGCAGGCTTGTTGATAAGATCAGTGTAGTTCCGCGACAGGTCCGCGAAGATCCTGAGAAGCTTGGAATTCTCAAGCTTAAGCTTCCTTGCATAGGAGGCATAAGCCAGAGCCAGAGAGCGGTGATCATCCGCTTGCTTCCGGATCTGGTCCAATCGTGGCTTCAGCGGATCCGTCTTCAATGCCAAAACAGATCTCCTCCCAGATCCAAGATCGTGCGGAACACCGTTCAGACCCTAGTCGCAAAAGAAAAGAAAAAAGAAAGAGATAAGAATTCAACTGAAGTCCATTGTCGTTGGGGAATTGTAACGGAAAGCGCAGCCAAAAACTGAATCACCATCATTATAATTAAAAACTTAACCCAAGGAAGACGGTGGCAAACAAACGAAATGCGAGACCGGGAGCACAGAAACCAAGTGCATAAACAAAAGGAAGGTAACCGCAATCGCTCTTCCCAACTGGATCCAAGGGGGAAAGGAGAGAGAGGCGATAGAGAAATAGAGACTTACGAAGTGGTGAGGGATGGAGGAAGTGGCCGAGTGTGTGTGAGAAGTGGAGAGGAAGGAGGAAGCGACGAAGATGAAGACAGCCACAGTAATGGCGGAAGCGAGCAATCTGAAGGCGCCAGCGGCGAATCCTCCCGACACCGGACGGGAGGCTCGATGATTCGCCATGGACGGACGGGGATTCGGATTGCTGCCGGTAATCGGCGGAAGGTTCGATCGAAGAAGGAAAGGTACTGACGAAAGTGAAGGAAGCCTCGACGGTGCTATTGGGCCAATTTTAACAGAAAAGATTTTGCAGAGAGCTTTATTCTAAGAAAAATATCTTTAAAAAAAAAAAGATAAAATGGACTGAACTTGTATGAGCCGTCGATTTATCGCTGGGACCGGTGTGAGTGGACGGACGAGATTCCGTGGGTTCCAGTTCATTTAGAGCTGGGGTGCCGACTGCCGAGTGTGGGAAGTGACCACCCGAGTTCGAGTGTGAAAGGAAGCGTCGGCTGACTATCATTTTATGAATTTTTAATTAAGTCCAAAGCCGCGTTAATTATAACAATAATAATTGGTTCAACGATAAATGGAGTGGATAAATCTGATTCTCAAAGTTATCAATTCGGTTTAGCCCGTGGCCCAGTTGAACCAGTGGGTTGGCCAATTAATAGGAATTCAAACATTAGGCCACGCGAAAAGAAAAATCGAAAAATAGGCGCATTTCACCAACCAAAGGAAAAATGATTTCGTATAACCTTTAATATGATACCTTGCAGCGCGTCGACTCGATGAATATGTACGACCCGTTTTTCTCACCGGGTACCAACAGGTCGACCGCGGGTTGACAACCTTGCTGATTCTAGTTTTAGGTTATCGAATCAACATCTCGTTTGGATAGTTGTATTCAAATGTAATGTATTTGAAATAAATGTATTTAAAATGTAAGTATTTGAAATACATATAATTTAAATTTGTTGTTTGGATACTCATTTGTAATTGATTGGTCTTTTAGAATTTGGAATTTTAATTTTGACATTTCTGGTCATTCACTACAAATTTGGTGCCCAAAATTATTTTTCTTACAATTTAATACCTAAAATTTTTATAAAAAGCTCCTGAGATTTTGATGGTAAAATTATGTTTTGATATCTTTATATGTTTTGTCTCACAATTTTAAAATTTTACAAATAGGTCCAACCTTTATTAGGAGAAATTTCAAATCACTATCTATTTGAACTTGATAAGTAATACACTAGACATGTATTTGGAAATCACAATATGAATTTGGCACAAATCCAAATACGAAAGTAATTAGTATCCAAACAAATAATTTGACATTTATAAATTCAAATCACAAATACCAAATCCAAATCCAAATCCAAATCCTTCTATCCAAACACGGCGAAACAAAATTTGATTCAGACCAAATTGGAACTAATGAATCAAGATTCGATTAACCAATATGATCGAGTGCATAAATTAAGGGCCTATAGACTATAGATGAATTAATGGGCTGCAAATGTTGGGACAGGTGGATGGATTAGTAGTAGGGGTGTCCATTCGGGTTCGGTTTTTTGGGTTTGATCTAACCGACCCGATTATATACAGTTTAGATTTTTGGGTTTGGGTTTGTTTCGGTTTCGGGTTTCGATTTCGGGTTCGGTTTTGCTTATCGGTTTTTCAGGTTCCGACTGAAAACTTCCAACGAATAGAACTTAGTCCGTATTCTTAGGCGTTCAGGTTTTCGGGTTTTGGTTTTGCTTTAACCGAACCCGATAAGGAATTTTCGGGTTTCGGGTAACCGAAACCCGCAAGTTCTTATCAGGTTTGCGTTCGGGTTTCGGTGTTTTTTGGTTTCGGGTTTTCGAGTTTTTTGGATTTCGGTTCGGGTAACCGAACCCAACCCGAGCTGACACCCCTAATTAGTAGTTGAGGCTCAAGGTGGATTATATCCATCACCGAAAATGGAGATGATTAGGAACTGAAATTATATTATGGTTTGATTGGTTTATGGAAATTTTACATTTTACAACTATATCACCAAAAAAAATCCCAAAATACCACTAATTTCCAAAAAAAATCCAAAAATACCACCATTTCCCAAAAATCACCACTTCAACCCGCAGTTTTGGTGAAAACCGCCACTCACCATGCCGTTGCGTCCTTGAAAATTTATGCGAAAAAAAAATTCACGACGTTCGGAATGCGGAGCACAAAGTTATGGACAATCAAAGTTCGCCAAAATCGAAAAATTGATCGTTCGGGATAGCAAACGATGTTTTTTTCCAGGATGGAGGTAGGACAGCGGTTTGCGTGTTGCAAGATCTCAAAAAGTTATGTGTAATAAAAAAATCGCTACGATCGGATACCCGAGCACAAAGTTACGTGTGTTTTAAGTTTTGATCTAGGTTAGGAGTTGAGCGGACAAAAAAAAAAAAATTAAAGCTCAAACCGCAGGGGGCAAGCGATTTTCACCTTAACCGCTGCTACCCCCGCGGTTTATCAGAACGAACGAAAACTGCCAGGTGGGGTGGCAATTTTCACCAAAACCGTGGGGTGCGTGGCGGATTTTGGGAAAAGGATGTGTATTTTGGGGGGGGGGGGGATTTGGTGGTATAGTTGGAAAATTTCCTTGGTCGTTGAGACTCTGCTTTGCGCCTAGCATGCTTAGGCGTTGCCTAGGCGTTCCTAAGCGTTATATGTAAACGTAAAAAAAAATCTCACACTTATCTAGAATCACACGTTTATGACCCAATATCATCGCATCTACCTCACATTTCTAAACTTTCATCAACAACACATGGTAAAACATAAAATATAGTGAGTTAGGAAGGAAGTTGGAAAATAGTGAAGCAATTGAGAGTGAAGAAGTGCAAAAAAAAAAAAAAGACGAAGCTAATCTAAAGATGGTAATCTCTAAGTATAACCCAAACATAGATACAATCACCAATACACTATGTTCTGTTGCATGAGTAGACTTATTAATCACTCAAATGAAACAAATCAGACTTACAGGCAAATTAATAACTACAATTGCTAACACAGAAAGACAATAGTTTACAAGAACCACTCTAGGTGTGGTTGCTGCTACAAATTTTTCAGAATTGATAATTTTGCCACTGAACAACTTTCTGAATACTAGTTAAAAATTATGTATATGTGAGTTGTTGACCTGCAGATAGCCTCTTGTACCTTTCTTGCCACAGCTACTCACCATCATAGTCTTATTCATCAATAATCATGCATATAGCAAGTATACAAATTCTACATGGCAATCCCCACAATTAAAAAAAACAACGGTGACATTGTTCATCACCAACCAATAGATCGAAACCATCCAAATAAACCCTCTCAAACAATTAAAGAGACAACATATAGTAGGATGGAGTGAGTGAGGACATCATTTTGTTAGTGAGTGTTTCTTAAAATAGTACGGTGTCATTTGGGAGTCAGTAAGCGCAACATGTGTTTTAATGCTTTGGTCCTTGGCCTTTGTTTTATGTTACAAGTTAGTCCAGGTCGATTGCTTTGCATTCAGATTAGGAAGAGCTGTTAGAGTTAGTGACAGAAAATAAGGAAAATGAGATGGTGGGATACTGGCTAGCCATCGTGCAGTCTGTCGAGGGTCATTATAAGGTTAAACTTTATTTTTGAATAAACAAGCTACCAGTTTGCACCAGTAGTGCTTACATTGTGGTATCAGAGCATTGGCTTACTGTAACCAAAGGTTTGTTAGTGATTGAGAGATGAAATTTAGTCTGGGTTTGGGAAACATGAGGGTTATTGTGTGGACAATACTGTGTGGTGAGAGAAACACAAGAGAGTGCTTGTGAGTTGTTTCTGCAAAGATGAGTGAGGCGTCAGGTTATGCACAAGTGTGCTTTCCTAGGTTTGATGTTGATTTTGATCAATGAAGTTTGCTTATGGAGAATCTACTCAGGTCCTAAGAGTTATGGGGTGTGGTCTCGAAGGGTTTCACTAAGCCTACACCAGAGGAAACAGCAGGCATGACTAAGGTACAAAGCAAAGAGATGGATAATTTGAGGCTGAAGGATCTTAAAGCCAAAAATTATATATTTAGCTCTATTGATAAGACAATTCTGAAGACAATTGCTCACAAGGAAACAACCAATGAGGTTTGGGACTCAATGAAATGAAGTACCAAGGCAGTGCAAGGGTGAAGAGGGCTCAGTTGGAGACTCTGAGAAGAGAGTTTGAGGTTTTGGAAATGAAGGCTAGTGAGGTGTGAATGATTATGTTGAGAGAATAATGAATGTGGCAAATGCCATAAATTGTGGAGACGAAATGCCAAAAGTAAAAGTGGTTGAAAATATTTGAGGACACTAATATAAATGTTTAACTATATTGTTTGCTCCATTGAGGAGTCAAATGATATAGACACCCTCACTGTTGATGCTCTTTAGGCTTCTTTGCTGGTTCGTGAGCAAAAGTTCATGAAGAAGATAGATACTGAAGATTAGGCTCTGAAGGTTGGTTTTGATGCTAGAGGAAGAGGAGGAAGAGGTATGGAAAGAGGAGAATTTTTTGGTAGAGGAGGAGGAAGAGGTGGAATAATATGGAATAGAGATACCATTGAATATTTCTACTATCACAGGTTAGGTCATTTCAAAGCAAAATGTCCATAACTATATGGTCGGCAAACACATTTTACCCCTGTCAATGAAGGTGTTGACTACCCTTATATGAAAGAAGACATGTTGCAAATGGCCTTCACTGAAGAGGAGTAGAAATAAGAGATGCAACCTGAAGTTCAAATGACAATAGCAGAAGCATCAGAAGACAAGAGTGAAGGCTGGTGGTTCTTGGATTATGGATGCAACAATCACATGACAGTTGATAAAAGGTGGTTTACAAGTTTGGGTACATCTTTTGTTTCATTAATAAAGCTGGGAAAAAGTTACTAATCTTACTGTAAAGGGAAAGGCACTACTAAGATGTAGATAGAATAACTATCATTGGCTGTTCAGGATGTGTTCTATGTACCAGGTCTCAAATCCAATCTGATGAGCATAGGGCAGATGCAAGAGAAGGGTTTAACAGATCTTATTAAAGGTGTTTGTAAACTCTTTCATGATGAGAAAGGTCTTCTCTTATAGACTGCTATGAAGACAAATAGGGTATTTGTGCTACACAGTGTTATGATGTCACCTACTGAGAATCAGTGTATGTACACTGACGGAGATAATAATCTCAACTTATGGCATAGAAGATTTGGCATCTCAACAATAAGGGGTTGGTGGAACTACAAAAGAATGAAAG